CATCAAATATAGACACAGTATTCTCTGCTGCTGCAGCAAGGTACCTCCCTAGACGAGGCTGAAATCTAATCTGGGTGGTGCCACCCTAATGAGCAAGAAATTGTAAGTTAGCAAACTGAAAATGAATGTATCATTGCTGAAATGAATGAGCAAGAAATTGTAAGTTAGCAAGCTACAAAAATGAGGTTCTTTTATCAAAAAAGGGGCAGCAGAGTGCTACAGAGCATATATTATGCATGACCCAGCGAAGGGTTGGACCTACTTTGTGGTTCGCCGAGAAATGAATTTAAAGTATGCTAATAATGAATAACATTTTCTACCTTCCAGACTCTAGCACAACTGCCATTGTTTATGCTCCAGTATCGTATCTCACATTCGCCGTCACATGAGCAGATGAGGTCATCCTTATTTGGATGAAAATCTAGTGACATAACAGTTGAAGAATGTCCCGTGAAGGTGCGTAGAGAATAACCAGGCTGCATGGTAATTATATATTCAGCTAAAAGAATTGCACAAAATTCTTCTACTTCTAGTTCAAGACAAGGGCAAACAAATTATCTGAGAATGCAATCATTAACATCCCAGAAAATAGATAGTCCCAATGTTCACGTCAAAATCCAGTAGAAGGAAACCTTCTACCAATCCTACAACTCCATAGGAGAAACATTGATTTAACAGCAAAAAACTAAAGCACAAAACATTTAGAACATTAGAAATCATGGTCAAATTCAATATTCATATTGAACCCAATACAATCTCTATAACTATTTGTTAGAAACACTGAATACTATTACCAGCAATAAGAATTCCTAAGGCTTCTTAAGCACTACTGCACCACATTATTCATCTTCACTGCAAACAAATAAATATAGCACTTCCGTACAAAAGCCTTTCAATACAGAATAGTAAAACCACGTCAAAGAACATCTACAAAACAGCACTAAGATAACATATCTTGAGCAGAATACATTTTAAGCTGAAAACTCGGTTGGTTAATAGTTGTGTACTTGTTTATAAATTCATCATCTATCTCACTAAGCACAGATTTTCAGTTAAAGTGATTATCTACAAGTCCCTTTAACTTTGCTGTGTGCCACACTTCAAGTCGAGGCAATTAATATTGTCATGTGCATTGTGGTCAAGTTACTTCAAACCCACTAAAATATATAGAAACAATTTCTCTATGAGTTGCAAACTATAGTAAAACAGGAAACAAGTCAACTAACATTGTCAACATCCCAAACCCTGACAGTTCTGTCAAATGAAGAAGTAGCAAGACGAGGCATGCTTGGACTGAACCGAACATCAGTAATCAAAGATGAATGTTCTTCAAGAGTAGCTTTTTGTTTAAGAGAATCCGTGTACCATAAAACAGCCTGCTGTACAAGGCAAACAGGAGTTAAAGGCCATACAATTCAATATCAAAACATAATAAAAGGAAAAATACTTGATTTTGTTTTTCAATTCAAGATCACTGCTTATTTCAGGAAGTTGATTGAACAAAGCAAGTACTGAAATAGATATCATTATCAACACCAATGCTTCCACTAACCTTTTTGTCATGCCCACCACTTGCAAGTAATTTCCCATCAGATGAGAAATGGCAACAGGCAACTTTACTTGTGCTTGCCCTTACAGAATTTACATCAGTAAATGTGAAGCCTGACAATAGAACAAATTCATGCCCTTAGTGTCTGATTTGTATGTCATTTCCTCTTTATGCTTATGCACGTCAAGGAATTAAAGAGCAAGTAGTAGCAATCATAAGATGCACATATATAAGATAACAAAGCAAGCCCCTTTTAATTATATAACCAACAATTTTTTATTCATCAATCAAAAAAGGAACTGCACACATTCATCATAAATATTGTAAAGAATATTGAGGCACCAAGAAATTTGAATTGGTATTTAAAAATTGTACTTCACTGTATTTTACCACAAAATTACACATTATCTACACTATACAAAGAAAAGACTGCAAATTTTCACATTGTAGTGAGGGAAATTCAGACATACACTTTGAGAAACTCTTTTGCAAGGATGATGCCAGAATATTTATTGATCAATGTAAAATGGTGTTTACTGCACCTTTGCTTACATCCATACAACGGCCAACAGTATCTCTAGGGTCTGTATCATCCTGGGACAAAAAAGACTCAACATTTTCATCTAGTGATCCATCCTCCACAAAGCGATCCACATCAGCCTGCAATTCAAGATCTTTATCATCCCACTGCCAAAATGGAATGGCAATGAGTCTACATGCAAGGAATTCCATAATTCCTTCCATCAATTTAACCACAGAGAAAAGGCACTCACCAACTGGTTAGAAGGTGATGTAAGGGCTCCAGTACCATCAGTTCCAAACATCATTAGAGGCTTTGAAGAACTACCACTATTGGGCAAGGCAGGCATCGATATCACATCTCCAGGCGTATGAGTTGAGGGAGTTGAGGGTGCTGAACTTGGCGACGGACCTGTCGTATTTGCTGTGCCTGTACTATTAGCAGGACCTGACGATGATCTAGGCTGCTTTCTCTTTCTCCCAATTTGGCTTTTTGAAACCTGAATGTGCATTCAAATAATCATGTTAGGAACCTATTTACAACTCTTTGTATGGTACAAAAATCAGGTCTGTCAAATTCAGGGACAGAAATTTATAATCATGTGATTTTACTACAAAATAATTGTCAAAATCTCATTGCA